CTTAGCATTGATATATGCATAGAGAGAAACCCCCATGGAACATACATTGCTTTCAATTTGTAATTAAGTGACATGTTACTACTTTCTTTTCTTTTCTTTTTTCTAATTTTTTTTTTTTTTTTTTTTTTGCTGCATAAAACCAAATTAAAAACATCTTTGCATTTTTATTTCTGTTTTAATTGTTAAATTTGGAAAATCAAACCAAATTAAAAACATCTTTGCAGTTTTATTTCTGTTTTTATTGTTAAATTTGGAAAATCAAATCATTTCACCTCATGCTCTTGTCAATAATTCCATTTGAAGCAGTACAAACTTCCTTCAGTTGTTGAAACTTTAATAACTATTTTAGATTTAGTGGTAACATTAAGTTTAAGAAAAAATTCAAACCCCAATCTTAGGTTTTATTTTATTAAATTTCTTACTCAAAGTGTATTTAAAGATTGGCTCAAAATTTATGTCTCTCTTCTAAATTTCCAAATTTCTGAAGAGAACTTTTTGACCTGACTTTTTACTGATTTCAGTACAAGCACCATATGAGAGATCTTATGTTTATAGACCCGAAGGGCGGGCTACCCTGGTTACCCAGGTGACTTATCCTAAAGCGTGGCATTGGATGAAAGACTGAGTGTGGCTCTGCCACTCTGATACTAAGTGTAACGGATGAACGCCTGTCCATTTACCAAAAAATTTAAGTTGTTGGATAGTGCTGTATACCTACCTATTTATACCATTTTCACTTTCCATCCAGATCTGATGTGGGACAAATACCTCTTGTAACACTAGGCCACTTGGTAATGTCCAATTAAGCCACTTTATTTCATTACCAATTTGTCCATGGGATGTATATACTGAAAATGGGTTGGATTCGAATTGGGCCTAATAGTCTAATGATAATTTCAGTTTATTTGGGCCTGGGCTATGTTTATACTTTCTGATCATGTAACATATATTGAGTTTGGTTCAAGCCTTATGAACACGCCCACAATTTTATTTTATTTGAAGCAAGCAAGCAAATTCATTTGTAAATCACTCTCCCAAACAAACCAATTATGATTCATAAAAGGAGAAATCATAATAGAAATCACATGAGATAATCTATTCATATGAGTAACAGCAAAGTTTTGTTGAAAAAATGAAGTTATCAGTCTTAACTCTGTTAGGATTAATATGAAGAGTGAGAGAAAAGGAAAGTAATGTTATTTGATTTTACAATCATAATTATCATATATACTTCTGAATGAACAAGTTGATATTATCTTATAGGTAAATAAATCACTGCATTTGATATTAATAATCAAGGGTCTTGTGACTTAATGGTATCTTTTCTACTTTTCAAAGTGGATGGTGAGGGTTTGAATATCCAAAGGAGTAAAGTGGGTGTGTGCGTGTAGTGTGTATGAATTTCTTGCTAATGATAAAAAAATAATAATAATAAAAATAAAATAAAATAAAATGATATTAATAAATTAGACTTCCAATCTTTATCTTTATTCTGAACATTTAACCGTCACACTTAAGGATGAAAAAATACTTTTTTTGAGATGGTTTTGGACTTGTAGAATTTGGATGAGTGACTAAAAATATGCCTCAATTTTATGTTACAAAATTACTATAGTACTTCTATACTTTACTAAAAAAATACCAATTGAGTTTTTTTATTTTCCAAATAATTGTAATCGGATTTGTTGATTCTATTGTATAGATTTCTCCTTTTGCTTTCATATGTTGGATTTTTTTTCTTTAAAATATTTATAGAACACATAATATATATATATATATATATATATATATATATAAAATAAAATTAAGTGAGGCACAGGACAAAGTGAGAGAACTTAAAATGGGACTTTGATGACGAATGAGAGGTCCCAAAAAAATGATTTTGAGAAGAGTTTCTTTTTTATTTTTTTAAACAAAAATTCTACTTATTCAAAACTTAATTATAAAAATGTTTATTTTTTGAATAACTACATTTTTTTTTTTTTTTTAATTCTCTTAAAACACCTTTTTATTTTCTAATAAAACTGAACCAACCAGGCCAAGGTTTTGCATCTTCTTCCTCTTCAAAATTATTTTGACAATTGATTTTACGTCCCTTACATAATATTGTTGGTGTTATAAATAAAGAACTAGAAAAATATGAGAGAATATTGAACTCTATAATGTATGGAATTGAATATAAGAAAACAAGACGGATTTATATAACAGAGATTATGTATAGAGAAGAAGTAAATCATCGTATGGTAATTAACAAGAGTGGATGAATACGGCTAACCTTAACCTTAGTACACAATATATTTTAACTGCCCTTCAAAGTCAAGATGGGTTATATAAAGACATATTTAATTTGGAAATAAGGTCTTGAAGCAGCCGAACGAAAGCAATTTGTTGAAGATATATGCTATATGATCAAGAAAAGTAATAGACCGCAACTGTAAGATATTCTGAAGAAGATGATGAACAAATTGTAAGATATTTTGAATAAGATGATGAACAAAATGGCAATCGATCTCAATATGTTTGGTACGCTCGTGAAATACATCATTATATGCAATTTGAATTGCACTCATATTATCACAATAGATAGGAGTGGTAATGAATAAAGAAACTCCCATATCCTTAAGGAGCCAATACAATCACAAAAGCTCAGAAGTAGTATCAACAAGTGGCATGCACTCAGCTTCTGTGTTAGATCGATCAATCACGGTTTATTTCTTGCTGCGCCGAGAGATAGATGAATCACTTAGAAAGAAACAATAGTCTATGGTGGATCCATGATTTCTAGGATCTCCTGTTCAGTCGGCATCTGAATAGGCACGAAAAACAAATGACGACTAAGAAGAAAAATAAAACCCATGAAACATAGTGCCTTTCGAAGGATGCGAAGAACTGCAGCAAAATGAGTAGATCTACGGGCAGTCATAAACTAACTAACTACGTGAACAACACGAGAAATGACTAAACGGGTGATAGTGAAATAAAGTAAACTACCAACCAATTATTGATACAATGTATCGTTCCGAAAAGATTTGCCATCACATAAATTAATTCTTGTGTTGTGCTTAATTAGTGTATCAATAATTTTGCTGTCAATTAAGCCTGAATATGTAATATGTATTTTACCTCAATGAGATAGTAACCATCTATAACTAAGTAATCTCAAGAAGTATACAATAGATTCTAACAGTTGTTTTAAAATTACAACTAATCCCATGCAATCAATCATAGTTACATAGCACGACTATTTTTCAAAATAATTCACAATTAATTTAGGATTGTACACGTGTTATATATATATACCAACTCACACACCGAATGAATAGTAATAGGCTTTAACGGTGATGAGGCCATTTCAACGCATTTGATATTATGGAAGTTTGATAATATGTTCCTTCCATGAACATCGGCGTGTAATCACGCACGTTCAAAGACAGCGTGGGGTTTATGATGCGCAAAAAGCATCGGCCGGCACGCTAAAGCATCCTAACAGTTTACACAATTGGAGAGTCTGAACATGCTGCCACACAGGAGGAGCCAAAAGAAACAAAAGTACTTCATAGAATATATGGCCAGTATATATATATATATATATATATATATATATATATCTCATTATAGATTATAAAAAATCAATTTTGGTAAAGTTCTTTCACTGTGATTTGAAAGTTACAATAAATTATGGTTCAAAATCCGCAACATAAATATGACCTTTATATCATGATCGATTTAATTTGACCTAGTAGTACTGTAGCACAAGACATAAAAGTAATATTTATGCTAGCATGCCGGTATTAAAATTTATTAGGCTTAAAGAATTGTCCATAACTATAATTTTGGATTGATGTCATAAAGTTTCAAGTAAATTGGGCATTCAAAAATGGGAATTTTATGTGGCTAAGAAAATAAAAATAAGAATAATTTGAATATATAGTTAAAATTCGTGTGACCCGTTGATATATCATCAGTTGCTATTGTTTGTTACAACAAGTCCAACAATTTGTTTGAAGTGCCCAAGTTGACAAGAATTTTGTTTTATTAACAATGATAACCCCAATGTTGTGTTTGGCAGACGTCTTGAAAGTGAAATTGTGGATATTGTTAGTCCAAATTAATAATTAGTTTTCAGTCAATTCGAATTCTAGAATATTAAATTAAAGGTTCAACTTTCTTTAATAAATATTCTTGATAATGCCTTTAGTCAATTCCAATGTCATGTGAAAAACAAAAATAAAAAAAAATTCCAATGTCATTATGAAGCAATACATAACTTTCTAACAATTCTAAGTCATCATGTTGAAATTTATTTCAAATTTAATTTAGTAGCGTCTTTTGGACCTTTTAAAATTGAAGGTTTTGAGAGTTTAAGGTTGACAATAAAAAGAAAATAAGTATTAATTTCTTGTCATAAATAATAATAATAATAATAATGTTATCAAGAAGTGAAATTGGTTCACCGTGTGTCGTTGTCTCGGTCGCGATCGCGATGTAACGAACTCGAACAAAGTCGGTCGATACGAATCACGTATTAAATTTGAAAAAAAGTCACGTATTAATTCAGACGTCGTGTATCGAACGATACTGCGAACTATATAAGTGATAGGTGGTAAAAATACCTTCTATAACCAAAATTTGAACTTTTTAATAACAATTTTGGTAACTCAATTTTTCCATCTTTTAATTTGCATTTACAAGACCATAACATAAAATGTGATTGTTTTGGCAATAAAAATCACTATGCAATATCAAAAACAATAAAACAATTTATTAGAAAAAAGAAAAGTTGTAGAAGTTTCATATTGTACTAACAAAAAAGCTGTAAAAAAATTATTACGAAAATGCGCAAGATTTGCATGTTACTGGTCTCTCTTTCTGCACTGATGGTCACGTTTTATTTACTATTTTGCTTCCAAACAAATACTTTAATAATTATTTTGGACATTTTACAACTATATATACAAATATAGTATACAAAAATGTATTTTAAGGCTGTGTGTCTTTTGGTTGAGGAATGCTTGTCACCTACTCCTTATAAGTTCCCACTCCCTCTGTGCCTCTCAAGCTTTGTAGAGAGAGAAACAGAGCAGTTTAGAGAGAGAGACAGACAGAGAGCTCAAAAGCTCTGATCTAGCTTGCTTCTGTGGTGGGTAAAATGGAGAGACACAATTGCAAGCTCTGTTCTAAAAGTTTCACTAATGGTAGAGCTTTGGGTGGTCACATGAGGTCTCACTTGGCCACTCTACCTATTCCTCCCAAGATTCACCACCAACAACTCGGCGACAAACTCAGTGACCACCACACTGAGTCGGACTCATCTCTTTCAGAAGAAGAAGAAGAGAGAGAGAGTGAAGAGAAAGCTTTGGCTTATGGGCTGAGAGAGAACCCAAAAAAGAGTTTCAGGTTGGTAGATCCTGAGTTTCTGGATGCTGGGTCGGTTGTTCAGGACAGAGAGAGTGAGACTGAGTCAACAAGGAACACAACTCGGAGACGACTCAAGCGGTCTCGCAAAATGGGTGGAGCAGAGAAGCCCAAATTGAGGAAACCCAGCTCAACCGAGTCAATTGCAGAGATTGAACCGGCGAGTTCGGTCTCTGATACATCCCCTGAAGAAGATGTTGCTTTGTGTCTGATGATGCTGTCAAGAGATAGTTGGAGTACTTCGGATGACTCGGACGTCTTGAAACCGAGTCAGACTCGGAGAAAGTACCAATGCGACGAGTGCAACAGAGTGTTCAGATCATTTCAAGCATTGGGTGGTCACAGAACTAGTCACAAGAAGATCAAGAACAGCTTTCAAGTCGACCATGAAGATAATAATAGTACCCACAATGTGGATCAAAAAGTTTACAAGTGCCCATTTTGTGCCAAAGTGTTTGGGTCAGGTCAAGCACTTGGTGGGCACAAGAGATCACATTTGTTGAGTTCATCATCATCTACAATTTCATTTAAATTTGGTGGGAATTTGTTGGATCTCAACCAACCACCTCCAATGGAAGATGAAGATTATCGATCACATCAAACGTGACAAAAAAATTGATAGCTCATTCACAAAGTTGGAATTGGGTCAGATGGGGGTTCTCTTTATTTATAGCTATTGACTTATTTTCTCCACTCATGTTTTTTTGGTAGATCAATCAATGTGTTTGCTTTGGCTTTTTGGAATTTCATTTAGTTGGTAGTTGTAATACATTGCTTTCAAGTTTTCACATGTTAATTAATTGATGCACCAACTACACCAAGTTTTATTCATTTTTGCCCTTTTAATGACAATGTATGTATGCAAATATTCCTGCTGTTGGACTCCAGTTTTAAATTTAACTGATGTACATTGTTTGTGGGCGATTGCATATAAATTTAGAGTTATAAACTACTTAAGAGTTTAAATGACTAAATTCTGCCTTATTAGAAAAAAAAACATTATATATATATATAATATGTTTGCATATTTGAGCTTTGCTTGTAGCACAAGAACTTGGTCACTGAAAGTACTACAGTGCTAGTAAATTCTGTTAGGTACTGTTTCTATTTGCAGCTGTTCTTTGTGAACTGTCGTCTACTTATACTTAAAAAAAAAATAAAAAATAAAAAAGAGCTTAAATAATTCATTATTTGTTTTTATTTTTTTTTTAATATATCGGTGTGTCTATCAATTATTATTTTCTTTATGCCTTTATCTAGTTGAGGAAAGGAGAAATTGTTCTCTCTCTTCATGTCTACCACCAGAATCTATATTTTGAGACAAACATGACCCCAAGGGAGCATCTGATCTGTTCCAGTGGTTCACAGACTACGTGACTGAAGATTATCCAAATCCCTTCATTTTCTGAATAAAATTAATAGAATTTTAATGGCGTTGGAATAATAGAATAATAGGGGGGCAAAAACTATTTTCATGCAATTGTTATATATGTGTGTATTTATATATTTATTTTTCGTCTTTTAGAAATCAAAAGACTTAACTGGCTGGCCAATTAATCTGCTCGCATATTATAATTAAATTTGTAATTGTTATGTTCCGTTGTATATAATTAGTACATTAAAGTTAGAATTTGAAAAAATTTAGTTCAATCAATTCAATTCTAAGAAACTAATTCTATACAATTCAAGCATAATTAAATTTGTGATTGCGTAAATAAAGAATAATTAACATCCATTTTTCAATAAAGAATAAACATTCTCTCATTTTAAGCGATTATAACATGGGAAAACTACGTATATGTAGACTTAAAAATCCTAAATAACAAAATAGTCTATTTTTAAAGTTCATACTTCAATTTGATTGAGTTAAATAAAATAATTACAAAAGTATCAAGAATTATTATTAAGGGCCAAAATACCCTCAAGCTCTTATTTCAAATTACCTAAATATCCTTCTTAAGATAATATAATTTGAAAATAATGCCTTTTTAGTTGTTATTTTCTTCTGCAATAAAATTGTTTAATTATCAACAATATATATATATATATATATATATATATAAAAACTTGCCAAAAGAAACCTAAACTATTTTGCTAAGAACACGGGAGGAAGGTAATGCTGAAATTATTCCCCTGCAGCTCTTCTCATGTTAGAGAAAAATATTCCAGTTACGAGGAAAGAAGAGAGCAATGGTTATTTTTTACAACTAGTTTGATCCAAAAAATCTAATTTTATAAGAGACTCATTAATCACTTGTTTGGTCATTATGAATTGACCAAAATAATTGTTGCAATGGATTCGATTGTGTATATATATATATATTTTTCCTCTTATGCTCAACCCTTTTTTCGAGCAATACTTCAAATGGCAATTCATTAAAAAAACACCAATACTAATTTTTTTGGTGTTTTGGAATTATGTGATACTATTAAGGATATTTAGGTATTTTGGATCTTAAAAATAATTCTTGATACATTTGTAATTATTTTTTTAAATTCAAGCAAATTGAAAAGTAAATTTTTAAAATAGACTATTTTGTTATTTAAGGGTTCTAACTTTACCTATATGTAGTTTTCCCTTATAACATCAGTATATATAAACATAAGGGGTATTGTGATTGGGTGATATCTTTTCTGTGTCTCAAAATAAATGATAAGGATTTGAGTTTTTAAAAAGACAAATGTATATATAAGTGATGTGGTGTGTGAATTTATTATCATTGACAATATATATATACACACACACAAACACACTACTTATATTATTTTCCAATAAACAGAACAAACACGATGCCATGGCATGCCACAACCAGTATCAAATATAGATGTGCTCAATTACAGCCGTTCAAATTGATTGCCATTGACATGATCATCACGTTTCTCATCCGAATCTTAATGGGTCCTCATCCGACCCACTACATTTTGATGGAATTTTTGATCGCCAACAATGAAATTCTGCACAAATTGGATGATACATCATATAAGGATAGCTTGTGGGTTCCACATTTTTATAGGATAAAAAAATGATTATCACTTTATTACTGGTGTATAGTTACCCATTGATCATATGCAACTTAAACAGGTCAATCCAAATCCGATTCCATATGACTTTGAGTAATGATTTTAAACATGGGTCGAATATAATCTAATCCGACTTTCGATAATTAAAGTTTAACCCAATTCCAAATTGAATTTCTAAACGAAATAAACAGAGTTGAGTTCCGATTGAATTTGAGTTGAAAATTGTATACTTTTATATTGTGTTTGCACTAACCTCTATTGTGTTTAATGTGCAAAAATAAAATGGAATGAAATGTCCATTTTAATCATTCATTTGTTTGGTGTGCAAAAATGGAATGGAATAACCATTTTATTTAAATGAAAATTCATTTTAAGGAATAAAAATTCATTCAATTACTAAACTTATAGAATGGTCATTTCATTCCTTAATAAGATAAAATATTTTTGTAATATTCCCAATAAACCCTTCATCATATTCTAATAAGGTAAAAATCTTTTACATTCAATTTTTCAAGTTTCTCGAATTTCTTTATTAGACGTGATAAAGGCATTTCACCTTCCCTCTCATATATCTAGGGTCGCCATTGACAAAAAGTTATAGGACCTTCAACCAAATTCCAATTATTAATCTCTTTATTTTTTGAAGTTATGAGTATATCACTTTTATTTATTTTTTATTTTTTGTATCTTTGTGTTGAAATCTCCATCTTTCTGAACATTTATATATGGAGCAATGATAATATAAAATAAAAATTAACAAGAGTCAAAAATAATATTTTATTTTATTTTAAGGGTTTTCTTTATTTTTTCTTTGGCAATATTGTAAATCTTATAACATTTCAGAATATTAATTAGATTGATTTTACTAAAAAATAATGTAAGCCAATGAAAATGATATTTTTGACAAAAAAAATCATTCAATTCCAGACCTAATGATGGTCAACCAACAATAAAATGATTATTTTATAACAATTTACCGTGCAATAAAATAATAATAACCATTTCATTCCATAACAACTCACTCACACTAAACATGAAAAAGAGAATACTCATTCCATTTTAAATCACATTTCATTTTATTCTTTTACACACCAAACGTTGTCTTACCGTCCGTGTCCACGCTGTTTGAGTTGCGTTCTATCTAAGTTTTTTTTTTAGGTAAAATTCTATCTAAGTTGCGTCAGTTGTGCCGTCTAATATGAAATCTAGAAATAGGGTAGCGATGCGATGAAATGGTACAACATTTTGGTCAAATTCTAACCATATCTTTATGGGAGAACATAGACAGTGGGCCAAACCAATCTAAGGAAATTAATGCAGTCTTTTCACATTCTAAAACGAGCCAGGTACAACCTTTTTATTTTTTCTTTAGGTTCACTCTTAGAAATAGTCTTAATTTCATCTTCGGAGGGCCGTCACATGACTCGTATGTAAAGGTTATTTATTTATTTTTACATTTTGTTAATCACTTTAAGTTCTAGGATGATTTGTAAATTTTGAATATAATTTAATATTGACATACGTATATGCAATGACTGACCTAGGAATTTTTTTGAGGGGGCATCATTGAAGAATAAAAAAAAATTGGGGACAAATTTGAAAAAAAAAAAAATTTGTGGACAAATTTGAAAAAAAAAATTGTGCAGTGGGTCATTCTAAAAATTGAGTGGGGGTATTTTTGAAATTTTAACTAAAATTTTAGGTAATAATATAAATTAAAAAAAAATCAGTGGAGAAATTAGTGAGGTAAAAAATGTGAAGGGGGAATTTTAAAAAATTGAGTGGAGGCATCCCTCGCCACTAGTCTTAAACTGGATCGGTGCATACGTATGTGCTTCATTTAAACTTAAAATTTTATTATTTGAACCAATAACTTAAAAGAAAGTATTCTCAAAAATCTTACTAGCCAACGTATTTGTGCTGGTGAAGGACACGTTCGTGAAGTTTTTACTACTCGAATCAATGACCTAAGACAGTACTCTCAAAAACGTATCTGTGCAAGTGAAGAACACTTTTTTCTAAGACGTGGATAAAAGAAAAAATGAGAACTAATTTTCCTAATTAAACTTGCAATGCTGGCAATGTTTAATTTAATTGTCAATGTTAGTCACCGACGCACCACAGTCTACAGCTGGGGTGGAATACTGGCATCTTATATTGCCCATCACGGGTCACGGGTCCATTGTTTAATTTAAAGTCTAAATATATACATACATGTTTATGTGTATGCATGCATTTATATAATACTGGTTTGTGTGAAAGAAAGATGTGAGAGTTGATTCTTATTCGTTTATTCATTCGATCAACATCAGAGTAACTAAGCAGCCACAAGTGGTCAACAGGTGGGTCTGCGGCCGAGAATTAAGGAAAAAAGAACCAAAGACGCCGGCTAAGCACTTCAAACCAAGAGTTCAAGAGGAAGGAGTCAAACATGTGAAATCTTATCTTACCTCTCCAAATTGCACATTTTATTTTTTTTATTTATTTTTTTATTTTTTTTTGGGTAAATGTACTACCACACTAATAAGAGCATCTTCAATAGGTTTTCTAGAATTAAACCCTCCGAATTTGCCACATCAATATTTTTTAATAGTTACGTTAGCATTTTATAGTCATGTCAACGTTTTAGAGTCTCTAAATTTTAACTATTGCATGTACTCCAATAGTGCATTTTCGCTCTCCAAAAATATTAATATTTTTTAAATTTTTAATAAATTTTATTTTTTAACTTTTTCCTAACGGCTATATTTTTAACGGTTATATCATACCAAAAAT